CTAAATGGAGTTTGCCCAAATGAGGAAGTGACGGCGCCGCCGGTCTGAACAGCGAGCTCGAAGGTAAGAGGAGGGCATCTCCAAATCGGGGTATGTAGGCGGAACTGAGTGTGTGAGAAAATGTAGCAGCCCTCTAACGCAGAGCATTATTCGCGAATATTGCCTTCCAATCAGAGGCAATGTTCGCGAAACATCCCTCTGAGTTAGAGGCATGTTCGCGAACCCTATTTGATGTCATCAGAGTGTGGGTTCGCGAAGTCACGCCAACCACAGGTGCAACATGCACCTGGTCTCTTGACATGGCATCGCCGCCTTGGTCACACGAATTTCCAGACGCTCAAAGAGATGGCGAAATCGGGCACGGTTGCAGGTATGCCCTCTTCCTTCCCCATCCTACCGCCCAAATGTGAATCTTGTATTCTTGGAAAGCAGACCAAGACTCCGGTTCCAAAGATGCGGGTGGAAGGGGCGGGGCATAGAGCGACGAGGCGACTGGGAATTGTTTGGGTAGATCTCACAGGGCCTGCTCCTGTACAATCGCGCGAGGGTTACAGATACATAATGAATCTGGTTGACGACTACTCAAATAAGCCATGGTCAATACCCCTCAAGCTGAAAAGCGACGCGTTTAGAGAACTACAGGCATGGGAACGCGCGCGGGAAGTCGAAACCGGCTTAAAGGTCGGGACATATCGTACTGGGCACGATGGTGAGCTCTCGGGACATCAGATGGAGGAATGGCTGCGATCCACGGGTACGGATCAACAGTTCGGCGCCCCCTACACCTCAGCGCACATGGGACGCGTTGAACGAATGCACCGAACTCTCATGAATAAAGGTCGCGCAATGCGCATCTCCGCTGAATGCCCGCCAAACATGTGGGTAGAATTCTATCTGACAGCCTGCCACCTTCACGAGAAGACACCGACCAAATCACTCAAAGGCCTCACACCGTACGAACTTTGGCATAACCGTAAACCCGATTACTCTTACATCCGCGAGATCGGATGCAAAGCCTTCGTACTCATCCAGAACCGCCACAACCCAAAAATATACGAGCGCTCTATCGAGTGCATATTGATCGGCTACAACCCGAAGGCTAAAGAGTATAGGTGCTACGATAAGAAGTCGGGCCATGTCTACAGCACTTACCATGTTCGCTTCCTCGAGAGCCATGAAGGACATCCTCCCCCTACACCAATCAACCCAGAATCGGAACTCGATGATCCCGTCACACTCAGCCAGATTCGCGACGAGTCTACCGCCGAACCCATTATATACGATGATGACGAGGACTTTAATCCACCTATCGACGCTATAGCGGACCCCATTGCCGACATTGTTCCCCAACCAGATGCTCCCGAACCTCCAATCGAGCCCTGCCGATCCGGACGCGTCCCTCAACCAACTGAGAAAGCAGATCCGAATAATCCTCAACCAACGCGACTTCAGCGTGCTGTGCAGGACTCCAAAGAGAGCGCCGAACGCGTCAAGGCCGCGAGGACGGAACGTCGGGCACAAGTCCCTGATGACGTCGATCACGCGGACCCTGTTCCTGATCTCGCACATATCGGAGGCAATCTCGATCATGATCGCCTATTAGCCGCGATTGCGGAGACCGGCGACATAGATCCGACAACCCTGGAATTCGAGGACGAGCCGAAGTCGTGGAGGGAAGCCAGAGAGTCGGCAGATGCAAAGAAATGGGAGGAGGGGTATCGAGATGAGTTGAAATCACTGAAGGATATGGGGGTTTACGAGCTCGTTCCGAGATCAGAGGTCCCACAAGGCCACAAGGTCCGGAAAGGTCGCCCGATATTCAAGATCAAGAGGGACGAGAACGGGAAAGCCGTAAGGTTTAAGGTCCGTTTGGTATTCAAAGGCTACGAGCAAATCTATGGGAAAGACTACACGAAAACAACCTCACCTACAGCGCGCATGGAATCCTGGCGCATATTGCTTCACCTCGCGGCCTCGCAACCAGGATGGAACGCAACACAAATCGATGTTAAAACCGCCTTCTTATATGGACTACTACCTGACGACGAAGTACAATACATGGAACAACCGGAGGGATTCGAGGAGGAAGGAAAAGGAGATTGCGTATGGAGATTGGTGCGGGGATTATATGGGATGAAGCAGAGTGGAAGGATTTGGAACCAGACCCTCAACGAGAATATGATCTTGTGGGGGTTCACTCGTCTCGCGTGCGAATCATGCATCTATTATCGAACTACTGACACTGGGACCGTCATCGCAGCCGTACACGTTGACGATTTCCTCTCCATCGCTAGCTCCAAAGACGAGAACGATCGGTTCAAGGATCAGATGCGCCAAGTATGGACCATTTCCGACTTGGGGACCCCAAGATTCGTCGTCGGTATCGGGATCAAATGGGACCATCAGAATTCATCCGTCAAACTCTCTCAGGTCGCTCTCATCGACAAAATCATTTCCCAATTCGGCCAAAAAGACGCTACACCGTTATCCCTACCTATGGATCCCGGACTTAAACTAAGACGCGTAGATCGCGCCACTCTTACAGACGACGAACGCGAAGCCCTGTCCCGAATCCCATATCGATCACTCGTCGGATGCCTATTGTATCTGGCGATCTCGACGCGGCCAGATATATCCTACGCTGTTCAACAACTGACCCAATACGTCGATTCCTACACCGAGATCCATTGGAACGCGGCCATTCGCCTCGTCCGTTACCTGAAAGGTACCCGCGATCTTAAACTGACCCTTGGCGGCAAGGATAGTACCATATCATTACTGGGCTTCACCGATTCCGACTGGGCGAATTGCTTGGATACGCGGCGCAGTATCGGAGGATACGCGTGGAACATGGGATCAGGGGCGATATCCTGGGCAGCGCGTAAGCAGAAGACCGTCGCGGCTTCCTCATGCGAGGCAGAGTACATGGCTGCGTTCGAAAGCGCACAAGAATGCATATGGCTTCGCGCGCTCCTCAAAGCCATTGGACACGACATCACACAGACGCCTACCACCATGCTGTGCGACAATAACGCCGCGATCAACCTATCAGAAGATCCCCTACTCCACGCGCGCGTCAAACACGTTGACATAAAGTACCACTTCTTGCGCGAACGCGTACAGTCCAAAGAAATCGCGATTCGATACATTAACACCAAGAATAACGTCGCGGACATATTCACTAAAGCACTACCGGCGCCGCTATTCAATCGCCTTCGCTCTCTACTCGGTCTCCAATAGATCCCCAGGTTTCCATGCGAGGAGGAGTATTTGCGGTGAGGAGGAGTGTTAGGATTTGAGGGACACCGCAAACACCCCTTTGTGAGTGTCGCTCGATCACGGTCTCTTTATTCACGGTCTCTTTATCATACTTACACAAACGACTCTTTATCATACATTTACCTATATATACCTACTGCACGTACTCGGGCACCCTCAGTCACTTATACATCGGACTGAGGGTGAGCCACTTTATCTTATCTCACTTACTTATCCTTACTGATCATACCGTAGTCTATTCTGTCTTGTTACAGGTATGATCATCAATATAGTCACTTATACATCGGACTGAGGTCTATTCTGTCTTGTTACAGTCTATATACGGTACTCATTCTAACACGGGGACTCAGAGGTGTGCTGATTGTGGATGATTTTTATTTCTACTAGTGGCTGCGTTCGCGCTGGTGGATACGGTTGATGAGGCGATTGAGTTGGCGAATAATTCGGAGTATTCGTTGACGTCTTCTTTGTGGACGAGCAATATGTACTTGGCGAACAGCGTTGCGGCGCGCATTCGGGCAGGTACGAGAACAACAAATCCGTTCTGCCACTGACCGATGAAATGCTGATCCGGGGCTGCTAGGGTTCGTCAATATCAATGGCTCCACTGTCCATTCTGAACCTCTTGCTGGGGCAAGGGGTCTTGGGTAAGTCTCTCATGTTCGCCACCGGTTTGGCTGGAACGCGCTAACGTCCCTTGTGTGTAGGGGCGCGTCTGGATATGGTCGGTTTGATATTGATGGCTTCACGGACCTGCGGGTTGTCGTTACCCACCCGCCGGGAAGGAAATATCCTCTTACTGGATAGGCTGATATCAAGCTGTCTGCAATTACCACAACTTCCTGTCAGTCGTTGGGTTGAATACATGAAACCTGCAAGCTGGTCTGGGCTGACTCCTTCTTGAGTTACTTGGGGATATATATGTAGACTTTGACAACCAAAAACATTGATGTTGGGATGAAGCCAGCGAGCATATGGAAATTAAAATTAAGCAACCAAAAGGGCCTGGCTGCGATGGGACTCTGATGTTGCTGGTAGGTTTTGTCAATATCAATGGCTCCACTGTCCATTCTTAACCTCTTGCTGGTGCGAGAGGTCTTGGGTAAGGCTTATATGTTCGCCACCGTGAACTGGAATGGGCTAACGTCCCTTGTGTGTAGGGGGGCCTCGGGATATGGTCGGTTCGATATTGACGGCTTCACGGATTTGCGTGTTGTCGTTACGCACCCCCCGGGAAGGAAATATCCTCTTACTGGATAGGCTGATAGCTTTCCTTGATTAGCAGAAGGTTTTGTCAGGTGTTGGGTTGAATACATGAAATCCGCGATTCTGGTTTGGCATGACTCCTTCCTGAGTTACTTGAGAACATACTTATATTTTTAACACAACTGAAGGCACAAAAACTATACACAGCGAACGTACGGAAATTAAGACCTGCGCGTGTTCTTGTTTCACATCCGCCGGGAATGAAATATCCTCTTACTGGATAGGCTGATAGGTTTATTATCACCAGAAGTTTCGGTCAGTTGTTGGGTTGAATGCATGGAATCCGCAATCTTTAATTACTTGGGAACATATATTTTTACAATTTCAAGCAAGCACTGAGCAGTGAGGGCACGAAAAACATGCGTGTTGGAACTTGGCTGCCACTGAGGGGATAAAGAATAGCTGTTGGGGTGAAGCCAGCGAGCATATGGAAAATAAGACGAAACAACAAAAAAGGGCCTAACTGGGAATTGAACCCAGGACCACCTCCAAGCGCGACGAGTCAACGCGGAATCCGCTAAATCCCGAAGGAGGTATCATGCTACTAGACCATTAGGCCGATACAAGTCTTCTTCACCTTGTGCCTATTATGGTGCTGTTAGGAGTCAGATGTCGACAATGGTCCCGCTCAATATTCAATTGCGAACAAGTTGTGGATAAATTATTATAGATCCTAGATCGTTCCTCTGGGACGGTATAAATACATAGAAAACTCTAAACTTGAAGTTCGATAACCCTCAGTCCGCGCCGGCGAAGCCGACTATCCTCATCCCCAAAGTCCGCAAACAACCAATTGAGCGTCGCAGCCAGGCGAATCCCACCCTGCGCCAACAGCTTCTCAATGATCAGCCTTTCGCTAATCACGCCCGCATACTCCGGCGTATCCAGCTGCAGCAGTGGGCCGTCGGGAGCGTAGTCTTCCTCGTCGGGGGTCTCGGTATGTATGCGCGAGGTATTGTGGTAGGGCGGCTCGTCGAGCTCTTTGGGCCATACGATGTCGCAGTTGAGCGCGTGGATGGGGGTGGCCCAGTGGTACGGGCATAGGACGTCGTCGTCGGTCTCGTCTTGGATGCTTCCGCCCCTGATTATGCGCGTGAATGTTGAGATGAGGAGTTGCCAGACGCCGGTGGGGGTTAGTAGTGAGGTTGTGATGGTGGTGGTGGAGGAGGAGGAGGGGGAAGAGGGGGGGCAGGAGACCCAGGTGGGGAGCTCGTGTGCCCATTGGGAGAGGACGCCTTCCCACATGATGCGCCGGATGTAGGAGTCGTAGATGGTGCCGCGGAGGGAGCGTTCGATGGGGAGGGAGGGGAGGGGGCGGGTGTAGTTGGAGGGCGTTTCGCGGATGGCTTTGGCGATGAGGAGGCCGTCCCATAGGGAGTGGAGGTCTGGGAATATGTTCGGGTTAGTTCAAGTTCAAGTGTGGGTATATAGGAGGAGGACGCACTGGTGGTTCTACCCCCGAATCGGACCTTCTGGGAGTTCCCTCCTCGATCCCGCCCGGTGAGATGCAATGGCATGTGCAAGTCACCCAAGAAGTGCACGAGAAACTTCAGAGCCTCGTTCGCTGTACCCTCTGATACCCCTGCGTCCGTGGTATAGTCCTCCAGGATATCAGTGACGTTCCTTACCGCACCCAGGACGTTATGCGCCTTCGCCCCCGCCCACCCCCGCCTCCCCGGGAACACGCACGTCTGGGACGGGTGGTCATCCAGCGCACCCACGTAGTGCAGAGGCGCGGACCACCGCATGCCGTACCGCACGCGGTCGGCCCATGCGGCGATGGGCGCTAGGTGGCAGGGCGGCTGGGTGGGGTCGGGGGAGGTGAAGTTGAGGATGTCGCAGAGGGCGGGGAAGACTGTGGGGTGGAGGTGTATCTGCGCGATTGTCGCTACTATCTCGTGGCCTGGGGGTGGGTGCGTTAGTGGGATGGTGAGGTGAGGAGGGTGGGGGATGGGACGTGCCTGCTGCGCCCCATGCGAGGACGCTGGTGGGTAAAGTGACGCTGGCTGCTGCTAGGAGCAGTGTGAAGGGAGGGGGACGCATAGTGTTGGGGGAGGATGGAGACGCTAGTTCATGCCTTTATATAAGTACGGACAGCCTCGCCCCTTGGCGCGATAAGGACAAAAGGAATAAGACGTCACGCCGTCACGCGTTTTTAGGGACGCGTCGACAATTGGCACACACGTGCCTGCCTCTGCCTCCCCTTCCAACACCCCTCCATCTGGCTCCGCACCATGGAGCACAATCACAATCGCAGCCCTTACATGTTTGTTCCAAGATTTCAGATACATCTGTACAATACTTCCAACATCAAAAGCATAGCGGACAACGAGACTAATAGTAATCGGCCTCAAACTCCTCTGTCTCGCCCCTGAGTACCGCCGAAGCCTTTGCCAGCTTTTCAGCAAAGGCATTGTTCGCCTCGCATTCCGCCGTCAGTTGCGCAGCCGCTTCATCGGGGTCGACCTCCTGCCCATCTTCTTCCAATGACTTAAGAAGTTCCGTTCGGGCCGCGAGCGCCAGTGCTTTCGTCCGTGCATCTTCAACCAGCCCCACAGCTCCGCCTTCAAGCAGCGCAGGCAGGACGGAGGATACCTTCGACAACGCCAGATACGCTGCCAGATTCGCTGCAGCCACGACGACCTATGGCACACCCTGAGCAACACTATCTATGAGGAATGGGAATGAAGTGACCACGTACCGAAATCTGCTCCGAACCAAGCCTCGCCAACGTAAACTCCACACCCCCCGCATCAACGACAAAGCCAGGGCCCACCTCCGGCGCCTCTAAAAGCCGTCTCAGCGCATATATATACCCCCACGTCGCCTCATGTTTCTCCACATCCTCCGCCCCGAGAAGCTCCCCAAGCTGGTGGGTCAGAACAGGCCGGGCCACGTCCGACTGTGCGAGTGTATGCAGCACACCAACCAACTCCGATTGGTCGTCAAACGAGGACGGGAACTCCCCCATGGCTCTTAAGAGCGAAAGGATAGCACCAGAGGGAAGGACCAGCTCGACATGGGCAGGGAGGAACGCACGCACCACGTACAAGAGCTGGCTGTACGGCGCTCCGTCCTTCAAAAACAACTCGGCGATTCGGGGGAGGAGCGACTCGGAAACGGCCTGGGCGGGTATGGGGTCGGCGGCGACGAGGGTGGTGAGGGTTTTGAGTGGGACTTCCCATTTGGCAGGGACGGTCGAGTTGATTAGAGTTGCTGCGGCGGGGATGGCGCCTGCGTCGATGACGCACTGTCTGACGGCGGGGGAGGCAGTAGAAAGGAGGGTGAAGCGCGTCCAGAGTTCCAGCTCGCTCATGCGGGGGGTGTACTTCTTCCCCTTCTTCCCCTTCTTCCCCTTCTTCCCCTTCTTCCCTTTCTTCTTGCCCTCTGGCTCCTCGGACACCTGCTCAGCGGGCGGCGGAGTGAGCTTATCGATATACGAACGGAGGAGCTCCGTCACCTTCGGTCCCCCGGGCGTGCAGATGTGGGCGAGGATGGCGACGGTGGCATCGCAGAAATACTCGGGATCGTCGAATATCTTGAGGGCCCTATCCAACAAGGCCCCAGATTCCTGGAGGCGCTTGATACCCTCCGGATGCCCCTTAGCCAGCATCCCGAGCGCACTCATAGCCTGCATGGCATCGAAGACGTCGTCGGGGTTAGCCGCGTTCGCGAGCGCGATTTGCACGGCCTTGTCGGTTGTGAAGAACAGCTCCCGGAGGGTGAGAGCGTGGGCCTCGTCATTCGTGTGTTGTTCGACCAGGAAGGCGTAGATGGTGAGGGCTTGACGGCGGTAGTAGAAGCGCTCGTCTTCTTCGTCCTCGAGGCTCGCGATGACGAGGAGCCATGGTGCCAACCCCGCTTCACGCAGCCCAGCGGCCAAGGCGGGGCTGTAGTCCACCCATCTCGCGATGAGGTTGAGGGAAGGCGGGGTGGGGAGAGCTAGTTGGTGTTTGAAGGCGGCGACGAGGGGTACGGTGTTTTCGGGCCGGAAGGAGAGGAGCTTGTCCAGAGTCTCGAGAACCTCGTAGACGTCTTCTATCTCTTGCGATCGGAGGACGAGGGGGCCGATGAGGGCAGACGAGTGTGGGGCGATGGCGGGGAGGGATTTGTTGATGCACTCAAGAACGAGTTTTGTGATGCTGGAGAGAGAGCGGTCAGTATTGATGCAAACAGCGCTGGCCAGGATGCTCACCTCGTGCACATATTCTGTGATGCGCCGACCTTGGCCGTATATTCCTTCGTAGCCTTCTCGAACGCCTCATCATCTAACTTGTCCCGTTGTTGGTCAGGCGCCAGCTTCCCTTCAGGATCCAAGTTGTACGGAACCAAGTGCAGGAGCCCAATCAGGTGCTCTACCGTCTTCTCAGTCCCGAACGCACTCCATCCGAGCAGCCAGCTCTGGTCCTCCTCCCTCTCAAGCAGCCTCAGGGTGTACGCAACAGGATCGAGCGACGCCTTGGTCTGGTCCGCAAGCAGCGAAGCCAGCACCCGGGGGAGCACCTCGCTCTTCCTTCCTTCATCGAGGTCAGCCGAGTCGGCGCACAAGATAACACGCAGCCCTTCCACCGCAGCTTGGCGTCGGGGCGCATCGGATCCCTCCTCCTGCGCCAGGAGTTCGAACGCACGTGGGAGTGCACCCACGAGATACGCAGCCTCCCCTACACGCCTTCTCTGCCGTCCCGCATGCCTGCTGCTGTAGTCCCCACACAGCGCAGGGAAGAACAGCACATCCGCCTCTGGGATGATCCGCGCCAGCTCCGCCTTGACGAGATCGAACCCGCGCTGGTAGCCCCAGCAGAACTGGATCAGGAGGTACAAGGCCGCCTCTTTCGCCGCGGTCTGTTTGAGGATGAGGCTGAGGGTGTAGGCGACGAGGGAGGGGGTGATGAGGGCGTCTTTGTGGGGGGTGGGCGGCGGAGGTTTGGAAGGGTCGTACGACCATGATTCCGTGCCCGATTCTTCGAGGAGGATGGCGGCGAGGAGGTTCGCGGCGCCGGTGTTGACGGGGTAGGGGGAATGGAAGAGGGCGAGGATGCGGGGGAGGATGGTGGGGGCCATGAAGGCGGTGGCGACGTTGTCGCGCTGGGCATCGCGGGAGGGGGTGTAGGAGTCGAGGAGGCGGGCGAGGACGGAGAGAGCGAGGAGAGGGTCCGTAGGGCTGGAGCCTTCGGCGACGTCGAGGAGGGGAGCGATGGGGTCGCGGTGGAGGAGGTGGTAGCCGACGGTCTGATCTTCTTCCATCAGTTTGTCGAGGACGGTCTATTTGTAGCGGAGGTTAGCAACATGAGGGGGACATATGTGGAACAAGGACCCACCAAAGCAGAGGTACACTGTTCACCGCCATTTTTCATGGCTACCAACAGCATATCACACATCCCGCCCTCGAGTGCAGCCGTCCGGATATCCATGAAGGTATCTTTAAGACCAGATAGAGACTTCAACTTCGCCTCGAGTGGCACTGCTTCGTCCGTCCATGTAGCCTTGAAAGCCTCCTTGATAAATACATTCTCGTTCCCCTCCCCAAGCTTGTTCAGGAGCCAGTCCGGACCCGTGCCC